TCCAAAACATGGGCAATAATTGCATCGAAAAGAGAAAGTCGAGTGCACCTTTTTTATGTTCGGGCGTGTTTTAGTTGGCTATTCTGTCTTGAAAACGTATAAAGCAAAAATATTTGATACATCATCTCGCTTCAGATTCTATTATTTTTATATATTTAGGCTTCATGTTGATTTAATAACATTAAAACATTACAGTACTAAATAATGAAATATATGGGTCAAGTGAAATACCTTTCTAATGAGTCATAACAACAGAGTAGGTGTGTTCGAATAATAATTTTTACTTAAAGTACTTGACGACAGACTTAACAGCTGGATCTTAAAAATGCATAACTTCAAAAAAACTTCATTTTTTTTGTGTGTGTTATCTAGGGTAATTAGTCTTTAACCTCTGAACATTTCTAGTCTGCCCTTCCACGAAATATTTTATTTGAATGTTTTTAAATGTTTTTGAATTTTCGAAAATTCCACCTGACAACCGATCAGACAATAGTTTAAAGTTGACTGAATGCAGAAAAGTACATTAAATGATGCTCAATAGCTAGTAGATACATTTGTCTTTTAAAATACAACTGGCATATAAGGATCGTAATGGTGCTATGTGGATAAATTTATCGGTTTTCAAGAGCTAAATTGGCAGCGCGTCATCCCTACAATGACTGTTTGGTATATGCTATAGTACAAATAATGGATACTTTGAGATTATTTTAATTATGGTTCATAATTAGAAATTAAGTCAGCATGAATAGTAATAAGAATAGTGTGTTAAGCATCGACTATAAGAAATAGTAGCCCCACGATTAAACACATAATGCGCTCCCCTTTGGATCTTCGGGTCGTGCACTATGTATGGTGTTTTTTCTTGGCTACTATATTCGCAAAATCAATGCATGGTAACCACAACATCATTCTGTAATTATAATTAAATTATATTTGAAGTGTGAACGTTGAACCCTCTTATATTTTTTTTTTTTTCAATATCGTAACATGTTCTGTCCATTTGTGATAATTTTCATGCTTCAATTGACTATCGTTAGTACTTTTAATTGTATTGACATCTAGATTTTACCATTGCGACATTATACTCTAATGATTAAACACTATTACCAGTATGTACACACACTTAATATTTATAAGCCTATGATATATGTGCAAAACACAGCTGGTTCAGGTATTCTTTTATAAAAGAGATATTTGATAAATGTAAATATTTAACTACATAGAAGGTAGATTCATTATATACCAAAAGCGCTGCTTACTGGTAACCGTTCATTTTACCATTGAGGTATTGAGGTTTAGTTAAACCGGATCAAATACGGTAATATGTCACATTAACACTAAACATATCTTTAAAACTATCAGCTTAATGCTGATCCAGTATAGCAGATTTGTATGATGGAGCTGACTAAAGACATGACGCAAAATATAAAACCATGCATAAACAGGTCTAGATAAGATTTGTTTCCTATCCAATGTTTCAGGTTAGACAGGTACACTGCCAATTTTGTAAGTTGTCATTCTTATAGGAAACAAATCGGTTCACTTATAGTGTAAGGTTGCTGAACACTATCCCAAATTAACTTTAATCTTAGCGATCGAGGCTAGTTAGAATTCTTTGTGTTAAAGAGTATCATGCTCTTAACACGGTCCACATATTTCCACTCCTTCAGAAGGACGGTTTTCATATTTGAAGATATCTTAAACGTGTGCAGTATATCGCAATGATATCTGGTTCCCTCTATATGTCAAATTAGTAAAATAAATATTATTTTTTATTTAACCAACTGATACGAAATTTTGTGTAATATCTAAGTGTCCACTAAACTTAAACTGTGTGAAAACGGAGTAGGCGTTGTAGCAACTTTTTACGGTCTGTTTATGAACTTCATGGACGGGTTTGATTGGGATTGGTGCTCCAGAACTTTGAGACTGCTCAAAAATTTCGGGCAACCATCCCGTCCTGCAATTAGACAGAGTGTCAACGTACTTAAAACGAAATGGACGTACTATGAACATAATTGCCGTACTTGGAACGTACTATGACGTGGTGCGGTTGGGCGTCAATTGGATTTACGCGTACACACAGACCGATTTCTTTTTTTAAACATGTTCATCACACAGACTCAATTCGACCTCATTACGTCCTTACTGCGTCTTTAATCCGTCTAAATACGACTAAAACAAAATAACAAGTTCTGAATACGTTAGCAACACGTTTCTACTCAGTTCAAAACTTTTGCCTTAGGTTCTGAGTACGATCTACTCGTTTTTGGTACGTTTATTGCCTTCTTATACAGTTCTTAAAACGTACACCCGTCTGTAGTACAATCAGACAAGGTTTTGTATAACACTGGCCGTCTTCTCACTAGGTCATCATTTGGTAAGTTCTATGCCCAGAAACGTGAATAAATTTTAAGCTCAGAGGGGTGGACTGGACGTATTTTCAGTGAGCGTGGTCACATGTCTAGTTTATATAGAAGGGAAATAAAATACATATTACCGGTACATTAACATATTCATTCTCGTCAAACGGAATATTAGACAATCATAAAGCGTGTCACCATATGCAGTATCATCATTAAATGAACAAGTTGTAAAATAACCAGCACAACTGAAAAATATATAAATAGCCGCGAACGAGAATGAGGACTGGAAGAAACGTGCTGGGTTTTTATAGCCGTCAGGCCAGGAAGAGATGACAGTTACGTTCAGAACGCAATAGGGTTGAGATGATGACGTGGTCAGAACAAGTGAAACTGTCTGTGAACGAGGTGATCGAATTTTAAGAACCAGTAAGAACGAATTTTGACTATAAGGATTGAAGTAGAACTAGTTACGAACCGGTTTAAACGTACTACAGACGGGCTTGGACTGCTTGGAAACGGTGTCCCCATGAGGTTAACGGGCAATTTTTCCCGATCTGAAATGAATATAAACTGACTGCAGAAGGGATAAAGACGAGATGGATGTATCAAGAACTGTTTAAGAACTAACAAGGGTCGCGTTATAGACATTGTCCGACCAAGGCTGTAGGTTCTAGCTAGACCGCACCTTGTTTTACGTTTTCAAAGGACTGGTTCGGACGTTTTTAGAACTAGTTTGGTGTGAATGAAGCTTAACTATTCTGCGAGTAAATGTATACTAATGTTTCTTTCTAAATCAAGTTTACGTCAACACGAGATTTTTTTAAGTTACATCTATCGCTTTATGGTTACATTATACTTTATAAAATCATTTTATGTACTCAAGAAGATTTTAATACTAGTAATAGACGACTTTAAATCAACCAAAAGACATCACGTACCTTAGCCCTTCTTCGGTTTTGTTCCTGCTAGGAACGTTCCGAGATAATAAGTTAATTATTTTCATATATATACATTCCATTTTTTCGCATTATTTAGGCGAAATAGAAGAGGAGTTTTGATGAGATCGAAAAGGGTGACACATTTGACTGTCACAAGAAATGTTAAGAGAGCTGGGTGGGTTCGGATAATTTAACCTCGGCAACAGTCCCAAATAGACTAACTTAAACAAGTGCTGCTAATTGGGACTTTTTGTGATAAAGCGTAGCAAGCAGTCTCGTATCACTGGAAAAAACAATTAAGTCCATACCGAGTGACGGATTGCCCATTTGATACATTCCAAACAGCGATGGATGTAACTTGCATCGGGGGATAGCGGTTTAGGGGACTATTTATATACTCGTTGTTTCGTTATAGTATACAATACGTGTTTTCTTAGCTAAAGCACTTTTATCCAAATTCATCTTGAGAAATAAGCCCAAATATCTTTTCCGTCTCAAAACTTGCAAAACTGACTGATTGTTTAAAAGATCTAAAAATCCCCAAGCAATATTTCAACGATTTTCAGGACTAAATCAGTGTAACAATAAAAGTTGTTAAGGGCACAGATTGAAAATAGCACGAGAAAAAAAAATAATGACTACCTTTGACAAACAGAAGCAAAGAAGAATGTTTATGTCAACTACTGATGCATACATGTAGGGAGCTTTATAACCTTATAAGTCGAATTATCAAGGAGTAGTTTCAACTATAATTTTCGTTAAAGTTACAAATGTTTGTTCCTTGTGGATTTTTCAGAATGTACAAAATTGATCATAGATAGTGCCATACTATTAGCCGCATTGTAAACCAGAGATGTGTAAAAACTGGTAAAATGTCAATAATCTTCAGTTTTGTCAATGATATTTGCTTATCTTTTTGTTCCTTTTGTCTTTGCTGTATTTCTTTTTTTTTCATTTGGTGAATTATTTTAAATTTATTTGTGTCTATTTTAAACTTACAATTCAGATTTACAATACCGTATTAATGAATATTGTATATACAATGTGTCTCCGGTGCACAGTTTAATCAATATGTGACAGATGACAAGACAAATGTATATTTCATAAGATAATCACCTAACTTTTCTATACACATCTATAGATAGTTAAGCCTTAAGCCGTTTAACGTTGGTGTTAAGAAATGGTGAACTGTTAGCCGTAAAGATGCGACTATTTAGGAGGCAATAAGCGTGATGAGTTGGTTAGAAACTTCACAAACGATCCGTGAGAGGATTATACAATTCACACATTTCAATTGAAATGGAAATATAAAAAAGTTAACTAATAAACATTCTATAAATGAAATCAATATCTTGATGTATTCTATAAGTTACTATACATCCGTATTAAGGCAGTTCGTAGATTAATTTGAGTTTGAGATACATTGTTTATCGGTACTGATGCTGTTCAGTTTGTCATTTGAATTCCTCTCAAGATGATCAATTTCTTCTATTCATTGATCGATCGTCAACTGACGAGTAGCGTTTGAATATTAACAAAAACCTAGCGTAACTTCACTCATGAAAAATCTTCACTCGCTGCCAAGCGATGTTATTTTTATCAGGATGTCTGCGAAACCTTACATGATGCTTTATGTGTGTTAAGTGACAAAACAGACTCCTTTGTTGGTGATATAATTATTCTTTTTTCACTTCAGGACGAACTATAGTTAACAGCCAAAGGTAAGGGTATTTTTTAAATCATTTGACGCATAGAACTTGCTTCTTTCTTTATTTTCTAATCAAAATGTAATCATGTTATTCAAGTTCAGTTATTATTTCAACATGTCATCACAGAACTACATCAACTTAAAATGTAATGAAAGGATGGCAAAAATTGAAGTAAGTAATCCTATAGATCCTCAGCTAATGAACAGTGATTCTGAAGAAATTCTGCTATCAGTATTTATAAATGTGACGGGAACTATCTTCGTTCACACCCTTTAACTGTTCTGCAGAATTATTTATAATTGAAGATGAATAGAAGATATCAAATCTCGCAAATATTAATAATATTTTATTTATTTATATGTTGTAAAGTCTCACAGGAAATTGTATTTAACAGGTTAATTAACAAACAATCATATTTATTAATCGATAATATACAAACGTATGTTGCAAGATATATCCACATGTGTTATTGACGATCCATAACTTTAACGTATTTCGTTTCCTTTTAAGTTTTAACGTAATATCAAAGAAAAAGTGACACACATGTCTTAGATATATACAGAATGACTAATGTTGGGTCGTACTGTTGAACAGAATAAAAAAAAGTGAATGATGATATATATATTAATAAAGGATAACATAAATAAACTAATATTCTAAAATCTTGTCTATTAAAAACATGTTTTCTATAATTATTTTCTTCGTTGAAATTATTCTGATGTAAAATATTTGTTACAGAATTATCGTCGTTAACATGTTAAAAACATATGATACAATTTCGTAGGCACATGCAACACGTGTTCCGGTCTGTAATAATTGGATTCACAGTATTATTCAAATCTAGTAGTTGGTGTAACCCTTGGCCGTAAGGTGCAATTCTTAACAACAAATATATCTTGTTGAAAAACTTGTTTACGAAAATGTTGACATTTGTTGCTCGTTTTCCCATTCTTATTAAGGGTGAATGAACCTTCCTTGCCAAAAGTATTTAGTATTTATATATGAATTATTGACGAATTGTATTATAACTGACTAGCTAAGAGATACAATGTTAGCTTACCAGATGATTTATTATCTCTTACACATAAGCTGTACTAAGTTGTTTTGTAAGTTACTATTCTTACATACGAGGCAGAATATTTATCATTCCCGTTTATTTTATCCACCCTTCCAATTTTGGCTTTGACAATCAATTCTCTGAAAATTTAATATTTATGTTTATTAGTAAAAGCCTTTAGTTTGTTTTTGTTTTTACGCTTATTACATGATGTTTGCGTTGATTTAAACAGCACAACGGTTACATTTACAAACGTGTTTATAAACAAAGATATGCCTTTCAGTGTATTAACAAAATTTCAAGATCTTTATCCTTTTCTAACTGCAGTCTACAAAATACTTCATTCATTATTGACAGCTCAAAATAACTAATATGGCTAACAACTACATGTACATTTGGGTTGTCATGATATACTGAAACCTCTGTACTGAAACTATGAAACATGAATCCTTGGCCTGAGTCATAGGTTACAAAACTTAGTAATATAATGTTGTCATATATACCTGTAGTAGTCTCAGTATATAAATATATTGTGCTAAATTCCATGTTTACTTATGTTCTCTTTTGGGCGATAAAATGTAGATTCATAAATATGCCTTACCATTAGCGGTAAAAAGACGATAGTTCTAATTGTTATAGTACTTGGTTGATTAATGTATTATTACTAGTATATTCAAAGTATAGTATTGCATATGGTTTACTTTGCCAAAATAGTTTAGCCTTTGCATTGGGTTTGATATACTAAAGTTTCAATGAATTTTGTCAAGCAAGTTTGTTCAGTCTTAAAATATCAAGGAAATCGAAATCAATGCGCTATATAGTGTGTCGTTTTGCTTCGTCGCAAAGAATTTTTTCTCAAGGTCAGTGTCAGGTAAAAATGTTACCACCTTGGCAAATAATGGTATATGGGGGAGGGGAGAGGATGCGCGTGCTCGCATGTGTGGATGTAGAGAACGTCTTTCTGTTTGTGACATATGCAAAACTGACGGTACCAATAGGTTTATACAGATGTTTAATTTTTTTTAAAGTTAGTCATCTCAATAAATTAGATTGAGTGGATAAGTATCGATAATTACGTTCAGCCCTTATAAATAAAGGCAAAAGCTATGTGATAGAGAAACTTGAATTGTTTTGGGTTAAGAAACAAATCCTTTTTGATTCTTTGTTAGGGATATTTGTTCATAAAAACAAATATATAAATATTTATTTTTTTTCGTTTCTTTGGTCCAGTGGATTAGCACACCAGATTTGCTTTTGTTACGCGATGCCTGTAGTTAATATCATAAAATTACGGATTTCGGTCATAGTTGGTCCGTAATCTTCCTCCGATCCTTATTTCGTATCGCTTTTTCAATGCCGGACGATAACCCGAATAGTCGATATATTCCGCTGATCTACGACTACTTCATTAGTAAGTAGGAGAGATCGATGAATTATTCGGGTTATGGCGGACGAAGGAAAATTAACAAAAATAAACAATCTTTGATGAGCGAGTTGGAATATGACGTTTATAATGCAATAAATGAACCAAACGATAACTTGGGGCCATTTTTGTCACGTTTTGTTAGAGTGAAACATTATTTTGCCGAAAATAAGAATCTTTTGATGGTACGCTCGAGTTGCGAGTGCCGAATGTGAAAATATTTTCGATTCGTTGGCATAAACAGTTGTTCATTTGAAATATCATACGACCAGTCTACAAATTCAATGGGAATAGCTCTTTATTTTATTTCACACAACTGGCACTTCAACGTGTACTAAAGAACGAAAATGGCACTGGTTAAACGCACTTTTCCACTCAAATTCTACTTAATTCATCTAAGTCAATCAGAAATCATGAAAAATTCAAAATACATCTATAAATTAATGTTTAAAAATTTCCCGAGTCCACCATTGTCCCTAACTAAATCGATTTATCGTAAAAACGTAGGAACATAATCATAGCAGTAGAAGAATCTATTTTGCTTAGTTTGGAATGAATCATGGTCACAAAATTGTCAGATTCGCCATAGCATAAAAGCAATTGACTTGAAATGTCCATTTTAAACGAAGTATCAAACTTTAGTTTTTATCGCTGTGTAAATGAGATCAATTATTCCGTTAACAATACTGTATGGAACATACTACAATATCTTGGAAATATATATAGAATTGGCTTACTCAGCTGTGAAATAACATCTCTATATTTGCAACTAATTTTCTTCACTTTACTGAACATATTATTGAATGTTTAGGAAGACCGATGCTTGAATCGCAAAGCTATTTCATAAAGGGTTAATAGATATAATAAATTCTAACGGATTTTTCCTCCGGTTATATACATTTGTAGCAGCATAAATCACAATACACTTGATGCCGTCGCTGTAATGAAATACAAGCCAATAAGATAATTTTATTAGATGTTAATTGGAAATCTAATTTGGCACTTAACATGTAAAAATAACAATCGACATGATTACCAGTCATTAGATCAGCATGCACATGGACCAATTATCGTACAATCGTCTATACTTACCCAATGGATTGGCAAAAAAAGATCGAACAGTTACTTGCTACGTTAAATTTTTCACATGTATGGGAAAATCAGGACACTTTTTTTTCAAAAAGGCGTTTATTGTATGCAATTCATATCAAACTTAAATAATAGATATTTGAATTCTTGGAAAGAAAATGTGTTTGTGATAATGAATCATTGGACGGCAATTAGCTTAGAACATATAGACAGCTAAAGAAAATTAAAAATTGGAAACCTATTTAATGTTAAGCATTGACAAAAAAGTAATACGTAATAGTATTCTTAAAATTGAACAAGGTCGGTATCTAAAACTCCTTTAGAAGAGATGATTTATCCCTTGTGTCGTTCAGAAGTAGAAGACGAATTACATTTCACTATAAAATGTACAAAACTAAATATAATTAAAGAACAATTATTTTTTTAAATTAGTGAAATAGTTCCAGGGAACCTCTTTTTTAAATATGACGAATGAAACAAGATTTAAATTTGTGTATAATTGAAACTGCACATTTTTGATTTGGGTCTGTTGCCCGTCTGCACAATTTGACGTCGATCATAGAAACTGTTTTTGTTTTTTCTTTTACCGTGCACAGCGTTTTAATTGTATGTCAGATAGTTCAAGAGAGACACAGATCATTATATTTAACTTATGTCGTCAATATTGTTTTTTATTTCCATTACGACACTAAAGCATACATAATTTACCTTTTATCGGGAATATTAGGAATTTCTTTCTCAAAAGCATCACGTCTCTGTATCATTTCCAGCAATAATTATGTTTGTCATGTTATAATGGCCGCGGTTAATAGAGATCAGTAATTGAGGGATGTTTTATAGTTCTATGTGAATACATTTATCGACAAATTTCACGATTGTCTTTTAGTTATATTGCCTACAGCAAGTGTCTAACTGATATTAAGATACAGAATTACATTAGAGAGAAACACACAATTTATAGGGTTTGGCATACCTGATCTATGCATTGCTCTACTATGAAGAATTGTTTATATTGATATAACCTTTTATTGTGTTTTCTTTGAAGTCACATTAATATCTGACCACAGAAAATCATTACTCTTAGTATAAGCAGCACTGTTGTTTGGAAGTGTCCGGCCTCTTCAGGTTTTATGAAAAAGTCCTGTCGACACGTTTTTATAAGTTTATGAAATTCAGTCACCATAATATTTGACACTCGCCTTACAATTCGGGCGGTAGATAGTAGTTAGGTTTTTAATCGCCCTCAATATATGAGCGGAAGCCAGAAATAAAGTGTATAATAGTACCCTCATTATATGAGCGGTAGCTATTAACAAGGTTAACCAACCTCAGTATATGAACGATAGCTAGTAGTAAGGTTTATAGCTGCCCTCAGTATATGAACGATTGCGATAGCTGAAACTTATGCTAATAGCCAACCTCAGCACATGAACGATAGCTAGA